AAAAAAAAAAAAAGGAGGAGGAAAATATGGCCTTGAAGGCTGTGGATAAAATGAAGGCTCCTGTGGCCAGGATTCTCATCTGGTCCTGGCTGGCTGGCTCACTACACACGTGTGGGCAATACGTTGTTATTGACTCTATGCAAAGAGCCCTGCACAGTGCTCTGAGTGACGTGGTGGCACAGCTGTAAAGCTGCTGGAGAGCAGAGCAGAGGCTGGAGTGGTGGCAGCGCCAAGGACAGAGGCCCAGAGGATGGCTGTGGCTGTGCTGGCAGAGGCCCAGAGGCAGAGACCAGCTTGCTGCATGCAGACTCGCTTTGAGTGAACAAGATTTTAGTGACTGACCTGCCCCATGGAAATAAAGTTGGGCATAACCCTTTCACACCAAGAATGTTCTACTGTCATTTCTTTGGTCACATTGAATCCATAGTGAACTTGCCTGGGGCTGAAACCCATTGGCAAGACAAAGGCCATTTCTAATTCTAGTATTTTAGGAACTCTGAAATCTATCACAACTTTTGGAATGCCCTGATTCCAGTCTGAACCTACAATATTTCACAAGGAGGATGTACTGAGAAGGCCACTGGATTCTAGGACTGCTCAGATTGCAGTCTACACCCACACATTAGAGCTTCAGTGGGCAGATGCACCTAGTTATTATTTATGATGAACACATGACCTATCCAAATAGTCCTCTTCTAATTTGAGAATTTATTAATGAGAAAAGTATTATAAAAGTATAAAAAATCAATTTTATGTGGCTTTTAATTCAATGATTACCTTTACTAAAAGGAAATGAGATGGTTCCAGAGTACCTGGACCCTTGTACAGGGTATGAGAATCTTGCAGTCAGAATAAGGAACAAAGACACACAGCTGGGCCACTTGTAGCTAATGGAATCACTGGGTTTTCTCCCCATTAATGACCTATAGACACTTTAGAACTGACAGCAGACCTCTGGAATAGAGATCAGTGCAGGCTAGGTGGGGGGTGGGGGTGGGGGTGGTGACGGTACTGCCTCTGGGGATACTTCAATGCCTAATAGAAGGGGGTGAGGAGCACAAGAGAGAGCGGATGGAACTGGAAAGTAAAAGATCCAGAGCAGAACTCACACTGTGTTACAGAAAAGGAAGTCATGGCTTCCAGTTGAATCCATGGGTCATTACCAGCAGACCATTAATTTGTGTCATAGGGTGTGGAATAGACATAACACCTATATTTCAGGGATTTAAAACCTTAGTACCGCAGAGCAAGAAAGATTATATTTCTGACTTCTAGTTTCCACTAGCTGTCACCAAAGATGACATCTTTTAATGGAATTTCCCTAATGCAAGTCAACACTTGAAAAAGCATAATCACTTCTTGAAGGAAAAAATTATAAAATTTTAAAAAGAAAAAGGTCCTTTAGCCATGAGATTTTAAGAAGCAATTAATGAGTTAAAGTGATTCAACTCCCTCTGGGAACATGTGACACATGATTTTTTTTTTAACCTTTACTTCCCTTAAAATTATATCAGTGTGTAGGTACCACAGACTCCAAAAAGAATGAACATTCAGGGTTGGAGAAAACTTCAAATTGTGATCATCCAAAATATTAGCTAGAAAATATCAACATTGAAAGGGCTCCATGAACAATCTGTCTTAAGAGAGGGAATGTGTTTTAAGAAGAATGTGCTTCTGATAAAACTAGAGTGTTTCTCAAATCCCATCTCATTTCCAAAATTCTATTAAGAAGAGGCCAATGCAAATAAACTCAGTTTGATCTTATAAACAGATTCACAACAAATGCAAGCAAAAGAGTGTTAGTTTGTATGGAGTGCAGAAAAAGTGAACCAAGGAGGAACAATTTGCAATGCTTTCCATGTCCGTCTTTGGGAAAGAGACTGCATCTGGAGGCACATAGATGCAAAAGTTTGCTGTAGGGTGAACCAGGTGCAGTTTTACAGGTTCTATCATAGTCGATAGTTCCCATAAAGATATGTATCCATCACAGCAACTTTATTATTTGTATTCTAGCTTTTCACTGTGCCTTATGAGTCTGGTTCATGTGAATCGAATGGGTTTGACTCATGCCACATCTTCTGTGTTCTGAGGTCATGCCTGGGCTAAATGGGAGAGAGAGCCTGCCTGGAAGAGGGCCATGAGCTTGAATGATGGCTGTGGGGAGAGAGAGTGAAGGCTTGTGTGCCATATGTAGGTCATTTGTAAGCCCTGCTGAATTGATGAAATCAAAAGTTAAAGATTAGACATGAATCTCTATTTGATCCACCATGTTTGTTTCATTAGAAACAACTCTAATGAAAACTCATCTAAATCATGTAGCCCTGGTCTTTATCATTTCTTAACTCTAATGACCACGATAATGAATCCTATCCTGTATGATTAAAGATGTGATATAGGATTCCATATCTTACCATATACAAACTAGAATGATATCCTACATTAGAAAGTAAGCTCTGTAAAGGACATTGCATATTATGTTCACTCCTGTATCCTTAGGGCTTGGAACACAATAGTGCCTGTTTGTACAATGAATGAATGACAGAATGAATGAAAAGATCCCTGAATCTGGGAATCAACCAACCCTTGGTTTAAATCCTGACTCTGTCACTTACTAGATGTGTGACTTGGACAAGGAAAACTGTTTAATCTCTCTGAGCCTCAGTTTTATCATCTGAAAAATGGCCATATACCTATCTTTGCAGGGCTGTGGTAACGATAAAGTGAGATAATATATGGAAAATGGCCTGGTACAGGGCTTCAAGCATAAACAAATGCTCAGGAAATGTTAATGGAATCCCATATAAATATAGTAATTTTTCTGAAAGACCTAGCAAACAGAAATACAAACATTTTCTTCTCTTTGTTCATCATAATTAAGCCAATGTCCAAGCACATTAGTTTAGGAGTAAGTGCTGGGAATACTAAGGATAATTAAAGTTATACAGGGATCCAAGACAAGCTTAGATCTTCTAGAACCTGAGGCATTAGAAAACATGCTGCTTGTGGTTGGAAAACAGGGAAATTCAAGTTTGTTTCAACGTCACGAAATATGAGTGAAACTGACTGGGCTGCAGCTTTTAGAATTATCACCATACCTGTATGTCTTCAGGTGGTATTTTCTATCTCTTATCATGTGAGGTGCTCGAGAGAGAATAGCATTTCGTAAAATTTTTCCAGCTCTGAGGATCTTCTCTGAAGGTACCTAGATTTTAATCAGGTGGCAGGAGGGGAAAAGAAAGAAGGAGAGTTTATAACCAAACCAGATGAATCCTTAAATTACTTTCCAATTTGATTCTGGCTTGAAAAATGCAACTCACTCATACATTTACATTGTTCACTGTGTGACATGTCACTGTTTTATTTGAGACCAGAGACATACTGAGTATTTATTGTCTCTAGAAAATGTATCTGAGGTTTCCTGATGTGATGCTCTGACATATCAACCACCTCCAGGGGTTACTTAAAAAGCTAGCTCCGATGGCTTATCAACCCACCTACATCCCATTACCTTGGGAATGGTGTTAGCAGGACGAAGAGGAACATGAGGTTCAATGAGAGGTGTCTGAAAAATAAAATGTTAAAGCAAAAGAAAATTAAAGAAAAAGTTCACTAAAGAAAATTATGGGTTGGGGGATAATAAGAAATATCCATTTTTATGAAACTCAAAATAGAATTAAAAAAACAAGACACAAAATCTGCCTATAGAACTTGAATGCATAGGCATTCAAAGGGCAAAATTAGATCATTCAATTTGCCAAAATTTAAATATAAATTATTAAAAATGAAAAAAAATAGGAATGATTAGATGTTTGTAGGCTTAATGAGAAGGGAATCAATATCATCTACTCAAAGCATAACAAACATCAGAGCAGAGGACAAAGAAAAACAAGATAAACATGAATAGAGATTAAAATGACCTAGCTCAGGGGATAGGGATAAAGTATTGATTTAGAATGGAAATGAGCAATTTCATCCTCTCTCATGTACTTGATGTTCTTTTCCTGAATTTTTGTTTTTAGAAAGAAAGTTTTAATTTTTAAATGATGCTTCTTGGTGGTTTCCTGCACTCAAGTTCCTAGAATCCCCTGGAGCAGCTCACGTATCATCTCTTTTCATTTGCAAAGTGGAACACAGCTGTCAGGATTCCCCAACTGTAGGACCAGCTCTGGGATCTAGGTGAAGCTCCTATTACCCACATTCTTCCGGTGAAGGTGCTGAACTAGAATCACAGGGAAATGACTTGCTATACTACCTATACAGTTAAGTCACCTAGTCCTACCCAAACCACTTTCCTCTACTTCTCAGTAATGTTTGGTGATGGTGTTTCCAGATGGAGGGCAAAGATATATCCAGTCAAGGATGGTGGTAGAACCATCAGTACAGCACTATTTATGCCATTTCCAGAAGGTATGCAAGGATGGTAGGTTTACTTATGAAGCAGGCAGGATATTGGTCCCCCAAAGATGTCTGTATCCTTATCTTCAAAAACTGTGACTATATTAGACATGGCAAAAGGGACTCTGTAGGTGTGATTAAGTTATGGATCAAAACAGGGAGATTAGTCTTGTGTTTCCAGGTGGGTCCACTGTAATCACACAGGCCCTTAAAAGATGGAAGAGGGAGGCAGAGGGGTTACAACCAGAGAGACAGCAGTGTGAGCAGGTCTCAGCCTGGTTTTGCTCACTTTGATGATGGAAGAGGCCAAAAGCCATTGAATGAGGGCAGCCTGTAGAAGATGGAAAAGGTAAAACAATGCATGGATTTTCCCCTAGAACCTCCAGAAAGAACTAGCTGTTAACACTGTTATTTTAGCCTGTGAGACCCATTCCAGATTTCTAAACTACATCACTGTAAAGTTATACATTTGTGTTGTTTTAAGCCACTAAGCTTGTGGTAATTTATTACAGCAGTCACAAAACTAATATGGATATTATTATATTTTATGCAAAAACCCTACTTTTTGCAAAATAGGAGCCATTACATTAAAGATAAATTATTAGGTTTCCCTTCCAGTCCTAATTAAAAAATATAATCAATGGGGGAAATAAAAGTCAATATTAATTAAAAATAATTTATGCACATAAATACAAATACACGTGTATAAACATACACCTTCCTTTTTTACCAACAATAAATTTCAGATGGGCTGCTGCTTTTAATATTATAATAGAATTAAGGAAAAAGAGAAAATAATACAAAGTTTTAAGAAAAGTATAGATGAGATACAGATTTATTTAGAATGAAATCTCACTGAACCTACTTAAACCTTTTTATCACTTCTCTGGAATATAGTAGACTTTTTTCCTCCTCTTTAAGTCACTGGAGCACAGGTGTCAAGCAGTACTATAGTATTTTAACAGCATACTATTTACAACCAACAACAGACTAGGGAACATCGATCTGGTCCATTTCAATAGCAGCTTTAAACAAGAGACCAACTTTGCCCTGCGATAGCCCATTCTCCCTCACAGCAGACCTTTTGATAGGACAGGGGCATGAGGTCACAGAGTCCATGCTTGTATCGTCTCCTCTAAGATGACAGAGAGAATTCTGTGATGCCAACTCCCCTGGAAAAATGTTCAAAAGCACAAGACCAGCAGGCACCAGAGCCAGGGAAATGTTTGCAATTAAAGCATGCTATTTCTGAGTTCTCAGTAGTCATGCTCATGCTGCCCCATCTTTAAATTACATGGCTTGGTGTTTATGTCTAGGACTGTGCCTAGTTATGTATGCAAATTATAGAAGCCTCTGGTTATTCTTCTTAAAATAATACGATAAACCCATTTCTTCTTTCTGCCTTGGAAGAAAGAGGTGCAGGTATATGTGGTCTAGTCTAGATGCATGTGGGATTAGCTTCTGAGATAACCTTTTTTTCCTACGACAAACTCTGTTTTCCTTTGAAGTCATATTTGAGAGGCTGGCTGAACTAGAGGTAAAGAAGATGCCCACATATGAGATTAACTGATGAATAGTTATTCTTTGGTAGGTGCAATGAAACATAATTTGAACGTTGCACCTTTTTATTTGTTTCTACAGAAATGGCTGTATTTTAACAAAATGCTAACAAGTAGTCCCTGGGTTAGTTAATTTGGTTGGATATTTCCCTTTTTGGTTCCTGGAACCCTTTGAAAAGAAAAGTATTTTGGAAGCAACAGGCTTCATCCAGAATTGTCCCTTTGATTTGTAACTTTTAAAGGGGTTAAATTTATGCAAGGTTGTTTTATAGCTAGATAGCCCTAGCACCAGTTCCAGGACCAAGAGGCTGTTGAATTTGTTGAAAGGCAGCATTCTCATATCCTTCCCTGGCTCGGAGATTTTAGGTTTAGGGGAAACATATTCTTTGAGAAGGGGACAGTCTTTTTATTTAAATAAAAATTACAAGGAACACAGGTAGGGTGAAAGCAGGGAAAGTTTTATTTTGGGGGACTTTGTCTTTGAAAGGAACACTATATTCCATTAGGCCAAGATTCTGCGTGCTAAGAACTACTTTGATGCCTAAGCAGTGAGACAGACAGCATTTGCCATAGGCAGGCCAGCTCTCTGGGAAAGCAAGTCACTGGCCAGCACTTGTCCAGGGCCCCCTGCATTATGAGTGTGACTTTATTACTTTTGAATCTGCTTATTTATTTCCTTTTTGGTTTCCCTTGGTTTTCAAGTGATGTTCCTTTGGAGAATTCACTTTAGTTATGCTTTAGAGAAATGAGAGAAAACATGTCTCATTTTATAAATGATGAAGTTAAACAGGTGAGGGAAAGAAATAGCATGTACTATTACAATCAACAAGAAAAGTAACCCTAAAAGCAAGACCAAGCATTTCCCCCTTATACATGATGTCTGCTTATGTGCCTTCATGCATGTTAACTGTTTATCTTATTACTCCTCTAATTTATTTTTTTTTGAGAAAACTACGGCCAGAGACACACAGAGACTGAGCTTACATAGCTAATCGTTGGAAAAGCTGAGAGTTAAACCCATGTTTCTCTCATTCCCGTGTCTATGTAGCAGGTACAATGATCCCATGCCACCTGTGCTTTTCTTCTAGACGCATCTTTCTTCACCCTTTGGTAGAGTTCATGTTCTGTTTATTAAGGTTCAGTAAGAAAAGAACATCTAAGCCCTACTAGGTTCAGGTATCAGACTTGATCTTATGAGTTTCCAGCAATAAGTATTCACAGCAGCCTACTGAGATGACCTATTAGCACCATGCATCATACTTTGTTTGAATTAACTTTTTAAAAAGCAACTTTGTCACAATAGAACATTTGGACACTGAGGAACTACCCTATCAGGGCCAAGACAAACATACCAGGGATGTGGATAGCAGTCAACTAATCAGGAGAGTGGAACCACTGAGGGCATTTAATGCCAGGAACGAGCTTTCTGGGTAGTTGAAGAGCTGAGAAGCCAAACAGGCACCTGGGAGGTGACCCAGATGTTAGCCAAGCAGGAAGCCCTCGCTAAGGGGACAGAGGGAGGAGGACGGGTTACCAGAGCCTGAGCCGGGAGTCCTGAGGTGAGCGGGAAGCCGGCAGGGCTCCGGACCGAGCAGTACACTCACTGCTGCGGAAGCTGCCCGCCCTCCTGCTGCCCAGAGGGAGGCAGGACCTTTCCACAGCCTATCTCCCCCCAGCCAGAGCCAGAGAAATAAGGAGAAGTTCATTTTATAAATGAACAGATTAAACAGAAGAGGGAAAGAAGTAGCGCGGTGATATTAATGAGATGATCAAAGCAAGCAAACTAGCCCTAAGGGCAAAACCAAGGCCAGAGGAGCCTGGGAAGCGCACTGTCCAGAGGCTGACCTCCTTCAATGCACAGCTGAGCACAGCAAGGGCAGGAATTGCTCTCTGGGTAAACAGACCTAGGACCTGCAGAGCAGGGCGGTGGCAGTAGCCACAGAGTGGGGACCAGCGGTCACGTGTGTACCTCCCTGCCCTCCCCCACTTCTACCATTCCATACCCTCCCCAGCACTCCTGCTGCTGGGCTATAGGCAAGGAAGCTGGACAGGAGCTGGCACAGAGCGAGCTTTCACTAATGCTTCCTGTTTGTTTCACAGGGCTGCTCTTACATTTTGACCAATAGCCAGAAAACATATCACAGCTGGGCCCTAAAGGGAACGAAGCCCTCTCTGATTTAATTTCATACATTTCAGCACATCAATCATGTGTTGAGTATAAAAACTCTTCCTCCCTACCTGGGCATGAAACAATTCAAAATGAGCTGTGAAAACACGATCCTAAAAAGCTAGGCGGAAAGAGCAGATAAAGGCAGAGGCATTCAGCTTTCTCTCTGCTTCTCTCGGCCCTCTCCGCTGAAGACTTCCCTCAGGACTGACTGTGATTGGTTTTTGTTTGTTTCTGGAGAAGGGATGCATTCTACTGCTTTTTATTATGTTTCTATTACTACTGAAAAGGAGAAACAGTAAAGGAAAATATTCCTTTTGGTACTAGGGCCAATTTAGAAATACTAATCAGGTGATAAAAATATGAATTTAACCTCCATTACAGGAAGCACAATAACTCCCCAGTAGGTTATGATGAAGTAAAAGGCACTGTAATAGGCCT